CAGAATGTTAAGAGGGATGGAGCTAATCTCACTTCTGGGGGGAGAAGATTCCACAAGGCGGCTGCCACAACAGAGAAGGCCCGCCTCCTGGGACCCGCCAAATATAATTCTCTAGCAGATGGGATCCGCAGCATGCCTTCTCTGCCAGATCTGATGGGACGGGCAGATGTAATTGGGGATGGGTGGTACTTCAGGTAACCCAGCCCCATGCCATGGAAGGCTTTAAAGGTCAAAACCAGCACCTTGAATTGGACCTGGAAGCAAACTGGCAACCAGTGCAGCTCGCGGAGCAGAGGTGTAACATGTACCGTCCTAGGGGCACACATAGCTGCCCGTGCTGCAGCATTTTGCACCAGCTGAAGCTTCTGGATACTCTTCAAGGGCAGCTCCATATCTAGAAGATGTTCTTGTGAAGCACTGATCCTAGTTCTCCTTTTATAAAACTCTTAGGCACAATTAATTAGCTCTTTGGCTGTAATTGTTTATGTCATATTGACTAGAACTATTTGGTTTTGGCTCAAAGTCGAATCTCTTTACATTACTTGTGTAAAGTAAGAAGATAAAATTAACATGTGCCAAACTGTTGTAAAGCTAGAAATTTCTGTAGATGGTGATCAAAAGTTTTATTCAGACTAGGAATGTCAAGCTGCAGTGTGAGGCTGGCAAATTCTGTATGTCAGTAATGATATTTTATTCAAACCAGAAAGATGACGCTTCTGCGTAGGAAGTTCTGTTTGAAACCTTGAGGTCAAATTACATATATTGGCGAAATTGCTCCTAAGCATAGGGATGATTATTCTGTTGTAAGTAATATAGCTAGGACAAGCTGTGCTCCCGACTTGTGTCCTTCCCCATTTGCTGAGAAATGAATGATTCGGTGCTGATTTAGCTCAGTGTGTATAAAGTGTCTTTTCATGCAACATAACCAGTCCCTGAGAAGTGCCCTGGTCTAGAATCTTCAGTCTGTTGCCGGTATAAACTAGTAAAAAGAAACTGCTGAAGGAAGGTCATTCTTCGTTGCAAAAAAATACTGGGTGGTTTGCTTGTTGGTTGGTTTCCTTATCTACTTATTTTCCTGAATAAATCTCAGATGTTGTTTCCTGCTTTAGTTTAATTAAAGTGCAATCTGTCTTTAAAAAATTAAACATGGATAGTTGCTAGAGAAAAAGCTTTTTAGTAATATTTGCAAAAGTTCATGGTTCTTAAGTGCTTGGGATGGTGCCTGTTGCATAACCTGGAAACAAAACAAAAAACACCAAAGTTTAGATTTTCTGAGGATGCTGTATGGATTATAATGTATTGTACAGAGTCATGGATTTATTCTTTTTCTTCCTTCAATCAGATAATTCCATTCAGTCTGTGATTACCTTTGATCAAGGAGGGGAGTGGGTACACTTGAGGAAACCAGAAAATGCTAAGTGTGACTCAACAGCCAAAAATAAAGAAAAGGTTTGTTTTTTTATGTATTAACAAAAATGAGGTGTTATTTAATAAATGTTGACAAGCAAAAGATGTAGGTCTGAACTAACTATTACTGACACCAAGGCATCATGCTAAGATGTTACATGTACAGAATTGATTTTAAGCAGTCTTTGGAATTGCTCAGTGGGAAGTTGGACTTGTGTAGTTGTATTAGTTCATATGCAAGACAGGTTAATGCCTAGATTTGCAATACAAATAGAAGTGAAAAATGTTATTAGGAATATTTTGCAAGGAAAGTAGAATGCTGAAAAAGTGTTTACTGAGTTTAGTTTAATTTAGCCAAAAGGAGAGGATAGGAAACTGTTGATCCTATAAAATTAGAAAGTTGCTTGAACCATACAGGTTCTGAATGAATTGCCTCACTTTTGAGTTTCTGATGCTTAAATTAAGTCTGCCTTGGCTTTACATTAGTAGAGATTTTCCACATTGGCAAATGCACTGAGACAAGTAATTGTGCTAGCTCTATGTTTAATGAAATCAGATCCATGATGCACTTGCATTTTGTCCCTCATTCTTGTTTGGATTGTCTTATATTTACAGTGCAACCTTCACATTCATGCATCCTATAGCATCTCCCAGAAGCTGAATGTACCTATGGCACCTCTGACTGAACCAAATGCTGTTGGAATTATTATTGCTCATGGTAATGAATTAATCTTATGCACACATAATATGTAATGAAATAATGTGCAAGAGCAGAGACTTTTCTTGTGATCCTTCACCTGACTTGTATAATCTTCAGATCCAACTTAGGTTGGCTTTTTCTCCCTGCTTGATTAGGAGAGACACACTGTAAAAGGATGCGAGAGACTGTGGGCTTGACAAAGAAATACATGTGGTAGATATTCATAAGAAAACTGTGGTGTAATTACTATCTGTGGTGTTGTGCTTTATGTTGCAGGAAGTGTTGGAGATGCTATCTCAATAACAAACCCAGATGTTTACATTTCGGATGATGGTGGCTACACCTGGACACGGACGCTTGAAGGTCCCCATCACTATGCAATCTTGGACTCAGGGGGCATCATTGTGGCTGTTGAACAAACTCATTTTGTCAGCATGATTAAGTATGCAAGAGTTTTGCTAATATTCATTTAGTGGGAGGACATAAGAAGTTCATTGTTTGCTTCTCAGCCCCCACATCACTAGTTACAGCAGTTCAAAGAAATTGTTTTCCTAGTATAATGTCAAATTAGATTGCTCTGAGACTAGAACATGTGAAATACATGAAAAAAGAGAAGAGCTAGCCTTAGATAAAAAAGATTGTAACATAATTTGTAATCTTATTTCAGAAATAAGCTCTCCAGAACAAGGGGTTCAGTTTGAAGTTAATAAACCTGGAATTATATCCAAAAAAAAAGCCTAGGAAAAAGGGTATAAAGAAGAAAAGAAGTGGCAGTCATGGTTGGTGTACACTAAGTCACCAGTGAGCATATAGTTTCTCTTGTAAGATATGAGTTCTTGAGGAAAAAAGGAAGATTATTTTTTGAGAGGAAATCTATTGTTCCACCATCTCCTTCCCCTCCCACCCCCCAAAAGAAAGAGGTGAGGAGAAGGTGAATGTGTGTATTTGCTTGGGTGTTGTTGTTTTTTTTCCTGAATATTTCCACATTTTTTGGCCTGAGCCATCAATCAGGCCAATCAATATCTCTTATTAGGGATAGTTGCCAAATTAGCCATCTGATTAGTTTAAATAAACCGCAGCCATGGTTTGAAACCAAATTTCTAATCATTATTTATTTTAGGTTCTCAACAGATGAAGGACAGTGTTGGCACAACTATGCTTTCAGTGAAAAACCTATCTTTTTTACTGGTTTGGCATCAGAACCAGGAGCAAAATCAATGAACGTTAGCATCTGGGGATTTCGAGAGAGCCTCTTATCTCGCCAGTGGATCTCGTATACCATTGACTTCCACGATCTCCTCAACAGGGACTGTGAGTGATCTTACTACTAATAGAAGTATCAGCAGCCACACACCATTATGGCTTTGTGAATCAGAGGAGTAACTCAACTGGAACATCTTGTATAGGCTGTTGATGTGATTCAGCACCTTTTAAAATTAGAATACAGGTAGTACTCGCTTACCAACCACTCATTCAGCAATTGTTCGAAGTTGCAACAGCACTGAATGAGTGGTACTTATGACCAGTCCTCAAAATTCCAGCCTTCCCAGCACCCCCGCAGTCATGTGATTGCGATTTGGGCATTTGGCAAGCAGCTTGCATAAGATGGTTGCAGCATCCCGCAGTCATGTGATTGCCATTTGCAACCTTCCCTGCCAGCTTCACAGTGCCTAGAAAGCCAACAGGAAAGGACTCAAGTCACTCTGGTATGTCCCTCCCAGCCTTCTTGCGCAATGTGCCACTCCCTCCTTTTCCCAGCCTCCCTGCACTTGTGCCACACCTCCTTCCCTCAGCTGCTGTCCTGCAGCATCCCCTCCCCCACTCATGCGGGGCCCGTGCTGGGCCTCCCCCACTCCCCTCAGCACCCCCATGCCCTTTCCCTGGGACTCCTGCCACTTCCCACTTAATGACCTGCACATCTTAAGGTTATGATGGCAACCGGGGCTGCCTGGATTGCTGTCACTAAGCTATGTGGTCACATGACATTGTGCTTTACGACTGCAACGTTCAGCGATGGCAATCCCGGTCCCATTTGCCATCATAGCCCAAGGACTGCCTGTAACTCCATTTTCAAATTAGCTCTTGGCATATTTGCAACTATGTCTGTAATTCCAGCTGCAGTTCACCAAACACTGTTATTTTCAGAGGTGGGCAAGATCATTTCAAAATGCATATTGAATTAACTCTGAAAATCTGAATTTTTCAGAAAACAATTGAAGAATTTGGGCAACTTTAGGCACAGATAAATAGTCCAGCTATCTCTAGACTATTCCTATTTATCTTATGCCACAAAACACATTTCCTCCATTTTCCTTCTCTTAAATTGACTGGAGAGGGGAGCAAGGATTTCTCCCCTTACTCCTTTTTGTTGATTAGCATGCGTTGCAAATGCAGGGCCCACGAGATGTCGTTTTGCCAAGACTCTTTCAGCTGGAAAAACTATATCACAATTCCCTTAGACTCCAGCAATGCCTCACTTTAAAACTTTGTGAAGAATTCAAAATTGTCAGGAACACCACTTATTACTCTTTTGAGTTTCTTTTGGCAGTTTTAGAAATCTGACCATTATTCCTTCCTCAGGTGAAGAGAAGGACTATACGAAGTGGTTGGCTCATTCCAGCAATCCTGGCAACCCCACTGATGGATGCATACTGGGCTACAAGGAGGAGTACCGACGCCTTCGCAAATCCTCTGTCTGTAAAAATGGCCGGGACTACATTGTGACCAAGCAGCCGTCTGTCTGTATTTGCACATTAGATGACTTTCTTTGGTATGCTAAAAATCAGGAGGAATCTGTCCTTTAACCACTAGAGCTCGCCCTTAGGCAGCGATAATGGCAGAGCATCTGCCTCAGGGCCTGTCCTTGTGCCCTGTGGTTGAACTCTGCCATTGACACTGTGTTGCTTTCTTTGCTATTCCTCCCCCCTCTTCTGGGGTTGCACCCTGTTTTTCTTCCCCATCTGTTCTGCTCCATTGGATCACCAGAATTCTCTGTCAGTTTTCTTACGGCCATCTTCAAGTCTCTTCTGCCTTCTCAGGCTGTGACAACAGAATCCAGCTCCATTGCCATTAGAGAAGTTGATCTGTGTCATTGGTGACCGATTACACCTCAGACATTAGACAACGTCTTGATTCACGTACAGCAATAAGCAATTCACTGATTGTTGAACAAATCACAGTGGCCTGGTTCTGATCTAATTGCTAAGCTGTACGTGTTTCATAAATTACAGTGGCTAGGTTCAAAAATCATAGTATGTTAGAACCACACTAATCACATTAGTATGATATAATACATTCAAGTAAGTAAAAAAAATCAAATAAATAAATAATGATATGTGAACTCTGCCACCCTGTGTCCATGACATGGCATAACACAGTTATAGCCCAAACTACAAATTTATTGCAATGCACAAGCACTGTTGAAATAGAAAAAGCAATGTGACTTTCGCATAATATACTTAGTGTGTCACAAAGAGCAAACAGTAAGAGTTGTGGTAGAAGCTGGTTGTGATTACCAGATTTTATTAATAAGTTTGTTTGAGATGGCACTAGAAGGCTTCTGCACAAAATATCTGAATCATATGCTCTCAGTTATGGCTACACTTGTCAATATTAAAAAAAAAAAAAATTTCACTGCAGTGGATTTAGCACTACAATTCTAATTTGTACCTTGCCTTTAATTTTGGCAAGGTACCTGTTTTTCATGTATTGCTACATTCAATAATATAAATGTATGCCTTAAATATTATTTATTAAAAATTAGATTCCTATTCTGGAATATGAGTAGGCAGTTGGCAGCTCTCTGCAAAAAATAGTGTCCTCTGGAACATGGGAATCTTCACTAATCAGCTGATCAGCTGGATGTTTGCAAACAGGTTATACAGTGCCACTGATAGTGAGAAATCAGCAGGATGTTAAGCATGAACTATCTCTGTTTTTTCCTTTTTCAAGCAGTTGACTTCAGTAGAATCATGAGCTGTTAAAACAGGAACATGCTTCCCCCAGGACACCATTCAGAGCCATCTCATAGCAGGGATGTACATTTTTTGGTAAACCTTTCATCCCTACAGATTTTAGAGGCTCCTGTTAGTCTAAAGTAGGGCTAGACAACCTGGTGCCCTAAGTCAGCATGGCCAGCAGTAAGACACTTTGAGAGTTGTAGTCCAAAATATGGAAGGCAACAAGTTGCCTACATCAAACTAAAACTTGCCAGCTAATGATCTGTCCATGAAAAATGGAACCCGATGATGTCCAGAACAATAACAAACATTCAGAGTATGTTCTACTACATGGCCAAATATAATTTGGAACAGCCCTGAAATCCTGAATCACTCCCAAGAAAGTAGGTTTTGTATAGGTAATGAGGTGGGATGGTATCATCAGTCTGGAAGGCTCCAATACCATGCCTGAGAATACCACAGCAAGCCCAGGTAGAGAAACTGTTGGACAGTGGAGTTAACAATACAGGTAGTCCTCGCTTACCGTTTGTTCAGTGACCATTCCAAGTTAGGATGGCACTGAAAAAGGAGATGACCAGACTCAAAGTTCTGGCTGTCACAGCACTCCTGGAGTCACATGATCATGATTTGGGTGCTTGGCAACCAGCTTGCACTTACAGTGGTTGCGGCGTCCCACGGTCACACAATCACCATTTCTGACCTTCCCTGTCAGCTTTCTCACAATGGGGAAGCTGGCAGTGAAGGTTGCAAGTCACTCCAGTAAGTCGCTCACACTCCCCCCTGCCCTGCAGCAGCCACCCCCAACCCTGCCACAATCATGCCATGCCTCATGGGCCACTCATGCACCCTCCCCCACCCAGCAACAGCCTTCGCTGGCCCTGCTGCACTCATGCTGCACCTGCCGGCCTGCTTGCAAGCCATCTGGGACCCACTTAATGACCCACAACCCTCACTTAACAACAGCAGTGAGGACTGCTGAGAAACTAACAGAAAGCAAGAATGCCTATCGTCTCTGTATCTTCCTCTGCTTGCTTTGCTTGTAATGCCTGCCACCTAAAAATCTTTCATTACTTATTTTGAAAGGGAATAGCATAACGGGTATGCGTGCATGCGTGTGTGTGTGTGTGTGTGTGTGTATGCATTAGATTCACGATATAGCATCTATTTATTTATTTATTTATTACATTTATCTCCGCCCATCTCCCCCTAATGAGGGACTCTGGGTGGCTCTCAAAATCCATTAAAACAATAAATATATAAAACATAAAAACTAAACAAAACATTACCAAACAAGAAAACGTCCAAGAGGCTGATGGTTACCAGAGCTGCAGATGACAGGCCTCTAAGGGGCTAGCCATCCCCACAGTTGGTGACTTCCCTCACCTTAAATCACCTAATAATCACCTTTCCCCATTGCAGATATTTATATAACCACAAATACCATGATAGCAATCAAAATCTTTCCGGTCTTCTTTCCACATAAGCTAAATATCAGTAAATATTTGTGTAAACATGCATAGATGTTTCAAATGAAGTCAATGGCTTTTCTTGCTTTGTATTTGTTTGTTTGTTTTTGCTGTAGTGATTTTGGCTATTTCCGCCCAGAAAACCAGTCTGAATGTATGGAGCAGCCAGAGCTGAAGGGTCATGACTTGGAGTTCTGCTTGTATGGGAAGCAAGAGCTGTTAAAGACCAGCGGGTAATTTTCTCGTAAGATTCTAATGCATTAGCAGCAGCATGCAAATTGATGCCCTTAGTCAGCAACAGAATACTCTTGCTGGAAGATGGCCTTAATGTCATGGATCCTTTTATAACAGTGTTGTCCAAACTTGGCCACTTTAAGATGAGTGGACTTCAACTCCCAGAATTCCCCAGCCAGTATGGCTGGCTGGAGAATTCTGGGAGTTGA